CCAAAAATTTTGTTAATTTTTATTATTAAGCTAATTTTGTGCACATGACCGAGATCAGCCAAGTGGTCCAATAATATAAATTTTGACCAAAATTTGAATTTCCCCCTTTTCTACTGTCCGCCTCCCATATACTAATATATGAATTCTATAAAAGAAAATTGATCAATATGCATATAATCAGTACATGTATATATACCTTATATAAGAATGGGAGTCAGAACTTAGAATAAAATGATATTAAATAATATATATTATTGCCCTTAATATTAAATTAAAAAATGAAAAAAAAATAATATATTTAATATAAATATTCATTAATATAAATTTGCTAATTTAATTATAAAATCAATTAATAAATAAAATTATTTCTAATATAATAGGTATATTTTTATTATTATATTTATATAAATATACATAATTTAAACTTTATTTTTTTTGATTTTTATATACTAATTGATAATATATAAATTAGCTAATATAGACTTTAAAGTAGTATTAGCAAATAACCTTGAAAAGATCTTGAAATGATCTCAAATGATATGACCTTATTATTATTATAAATTTCAAGTTAAATGACCTTATAATTTGTCATCAATACTTTAAAGTTTAGATATAATTATTTATATGAACTTTATTAATCAATAGAGTTGATGTTTTAAATATAAAAATGTTATAAATAAAGTTATTTTTATAATAAATTATTAATATACTTTTTAGAATAATTTTAGATTTAAGATTACAGATGCTTAAATGAAATATATTAGCATTTAATTTAATACTTATATTATGTAAATGTAATACAAGTAATAAATAAAAACGTAATACAAAAGTAAATTTTGAATTAAAATTATGAAATTTTGTATAATATATATTAAATAACAAATTTCATTAAATTTGAAATGGTATTGCTTTATTATGAAATTATAGTATACATTATTATAAAAAATTTCTGGTCGGAATATGCTAACAATTGGCCAACTGATAAAACAAATCCCCATATGATAAATTTACATGGTTATTTATTCAACATTTCTTGTATAATTATGAAATAAATACTAATAATACAATAAGATATAAATAATATATTAATATTCAACAATTTGATAAACTTCAACATCATCAATATTAAATTCTTTAGAATCATGAACAGGGTTGTCATAATATTGAGGAACAGATATGGCTTTCATTTTATGTAAATCAATGGCCAAATCTTTTACACCAAATCTAGGACCTGTCCATAAATAAGGAATGTATTCACTTTCAATTTCTCTATCTGTACGCATTTTACATAATATGGTATTTTCCACTTCCATTGACGGATCACCATTTTTAAAATTAAATAAAAAACTGGAATCAATTGCAGGAGTATATAATGTAAGAAATCCTAAATCTAATCCTCTCGGGGCAAATCCACCAATGATGGCTTTGGAACCATGAATTTTTGCTATGACTAGGGTATTTGGTAAATTATCACATTTTTTGCGATAATCTTCTGCGGGAAATCCATCACGACTTCTGCGAAATAATAAATTAAATTGATATGTCATCGGTGATGGTGATCTACGTTGTTGTCGTTTCTTCTTAAAACAAAAAAAATTAAAAAAGGAAATTTTGATTTTTGGATAAGATGAAAATTTTTCTTGTCCCCGTCTACCTTCATTAATCCATTTTAGTATAATATTTGCATGAAAATGATTTATTATAGAGCTATCATCTAACAATATTTGTCTTAATAATTTACTATGAGGGGATACAATATCTTTATTAAGATAACAAATTAATACTTCTTCAGCCTCTAAACTCGATTCTTTTACGGATATTATCTTGTTAAATGGTAAGATCTTTCCATAATAATCATTACGTGATATCCCGGAAAATTTAACCCGAGGAATCAAATCTTTAACAGCTCCTTTTAATGTCATCCAATCTTCATAAGTCCAATTTGGAGCGTCAAGTCTTAATGTTGAACTTTGTTGTATTCCCCATCTAATTAATATATCCCACACGATTCCTTGATTAACAATAAAGCATTCGTCCTCCATTAATGATATCAAACATGATGATCTTAACGCGCCCAATTCATCTGATTTTAATAAATACCAAGGATTATCATTTAATTTATGAACCAAATGATGTCGTATTCGTTCATCTCCATCCATTGTGAACACTCCGTTAACAACTCTTATAAAATTGTGTTGTAACCACAATGTTTTATTATGTATTATATGTCGCTGTAAATCTTCAATAAAACTTTCAAGCCTAAAATGTTCTGCTGCTCTTAATAAATTAACGCAAAGTCCTCCATCTAATTTATTCAAATTAATATCTCCCTGATAAAAATATCTATTGACGTTCCCAAAAAAAGTTTTTTTTTTTTTATTAATAAAAATAAATCACAAAGGAAGAAATGTGAAAAAAAATTTATTTTAATTACCTTAACATTGTTTTGAATGTATCCGGAGGAATATTTGATTCCTTTACAATGGTATATGAACCTTCTTTAGCAGCATAATTTTGTGATAAAGCGGTTCGAAAATACGATGACCGTGAAATCAATACATCCGAATTACAATAATAATCTTCACCATCAATTCTTACTATAACATCAAATTGATTTTCTTTGGAATAATATTCAGGAAAAGAATCTGTGATACTAAGTAAGTTCTCATAATCTTGCGTTTGTAGAAAGTTTAGTAAATCAAGTGAAAGGCGACTTAATGCTTCTAATGTATCATCTTCCATATCGACTATTTTAATAAAGAAAAAAAAGGTATAAATACCGATAATTATATGTAAAACTTTTAAAGACTTTTTTCACAAAAAAATGAAAAAGTTGACAGGAAAAAAAATATTTAAATTTCCTCATTGAAAGTTTTTATATGATTTTGTGGAAATCTAATAAAGGATTTTCGGATTGAATTACCACAATAAGAAATTCTAATCGCATGCCATACATTAAACCTGCTGATATCACGTTGAATAATTTGTTCGAATATTTTTCATACAAAGAAATCAAAGAAATCCGTTATTACGCGTAAAAATATTTATGTCGTTGTTCTTGAGTTCCACCAAAATCAAGTAAATTTGATACTAAACTTGTCAGAATTCGTGAAGAATATTCGAAAGAGATATTCCTAATAAAATTTTCTATGAAAATTGGCTTATTATGTAAGCTAGAAAATATGATATTTTTTTCGTTTAATAGAGAATGTCTTTTAAAAGTTAATCTCTCATATTGTATTTTGCTATGAATTAACCACATTTCGAAGCCATCTATGAATCTGGATTTTTAATAAATGTCACGAGATATTTTGATCGATTCTGTTATCATAAATAATATCATACTAAAAAATTTATCTACTAATTTTGGTTAAATAAATATCTGAACAAACAAATAAACATCTATTAGCTCTTTTTAGCAAAGTTGATTTATATTATATGAAAATCTTTTCAATCCAAAAACGGAATAATGCTTTTTACCCTTTTTACCATTAAAGAAATTCATTATGAATTCGATATACCATTCGGTTATAATACTATCAATGAATTCTATCTTTTAGTTGGTCTCGGGTAATTTTGATCAACATGTTATTTACAGATATTTCTTGAGTAAACCTCTAGAACTTGCATGATCGATCTACAATTCCTTCGGGACTTTTTCTTGGCTCTTTTTTATTCAATATGGATCACATTAAATGTTTCAAAAATAATTACAAGGACTGCTTTACTAAATGTTGAATATATCTTGCTCTTAATAATGGAGTTTTCTGCCTGTTACTTTTAACCTGGGTTAAACCGTCTTTATCGGCTAGCAATTGATCTGTATATCTCAGAAAAAGTTATAGTTTTCTTTGCAATATAGCAAAATCGATGAGTTTATTATTATCAATATTATAATATATGTTAGCTAATTTAATACTTCACAAATTTAAAAATATTTGGGATATATTGCCAAATAATTTATATTTTAAAACTAGTGAATAAATAATTAATGGCATAAGTATTATAAAAACAGAATAGTTTTGATTTTTGAATTTATTAATAGCAATTTATTATTGATTAACTTTTCAATTATTACTTAATAAAAATTAAAAATTTTATTTTATTTATAAATTTAATTGTAAATTATTTTATCAAAAAGAAATTTGATTTTAATACAAAATTAATTATTAATAAATGAATGCTTCATCACATCTAAAAAAAAAAAAAAATACGAAATTAATTATCTTTAACTTAACCAAGGCTTTAAATAGCATAACTAATTTATATTCTTATAAATTCTTTACATAAATCTCTGATATTAATAATTTAAAAAAAAAGTTTTTTAATAATATCAAAATAAATAACCATTTAATACTTAAACTTATAAGATTTATATATTAATATTAGATTAACTTATATTTAATATATTAAATTTAATAAAATTAAAAAAAATCTGATTATTTTTTAATAAATAGAATAATTATATCTAATATTAAAATTTTCTAATTAAATAAATTTAATAAATAAATTAAATTAATCAGATTAAATATTAAAATTGAAACCTTTACAATAAACAATAAAATTATAAATTAATAAGTAATTTGAAGTTTAATAAAGTAAGGTGATAAAGGGAGTTCTAGGACAAAAATTTTGAATAGTATATAATAATATTTGTACACTTTCTCATACCATTCCTGATATATAAAATTTTATGAAATCTTTTTTATTTACCTAATCATGTTACAATGTCAGGAAATACATTAAGAATTTAATAATGAATTTAAATTTAAAATCAAATAAATTAAACTGGGCTTAAATTTAGCTATTTAAAGATGATGATATTGAACTTAGCTTAGCATTAGCCCTTTAGATACAAAAAATTACACTGATTGATATAATAATTCTAGCTTAATTTAATCTCAAGTAATATATCAAAAAATTAAACTACTGTAATAAACTAAAAAGTTATCTTTTAGATCACATGATTTTTATCTTATCACAAAATCCATCCAATCAGCTTTA